CAGTTCAAAGCGATCGCGAGTGATGATCTGATCCCTGTATCTCCGAAGGGAATCGTGAAACGAGCCACACCGAGACGACCATTTTTCCATCTCCAGACGACCGCTGAACAGGTATGGATGGAGTTTAGTTGAAAGTGGAAAATTGTCACCAGAGAAGTTGAATCTGGTAAGTCATTACTCATATGGGGCAGACGGAGGATGCCACCGCAATCGCTGATGTCTGAGGCACCGTCCATGAAGTAGGGTTGAAGGGACCGCGTAACGACTACTGACTGTGCACCACCTTGCACTTATGTTTTATGAGTGCAACTCTTAGAAATGACTAATGAGACGAAACCGCAAAGTGCTTTGATATAGGAGAAAGAGTAATAAAATAAATTGAGCTCAGCGCGCTGGAAAATCTGAGAGAGCCCAGGCCGCACCTGGTTAATGGCTTTTACTTAGTTGTTCCATTAAAAGAGTTCCTGCACAAAAGTATGGTGTTGAGATGTAATTGTGAATTTTGAGGTAACAAAGGTTGCCGCATTGCCCAACGAAAGCGTTGCTGCTTCTCCGGTAAAAAGCGAGGCAGATGCCGCCACATGTGCTGATGACGAGCCTATCTTCCCGCGTTTAGCTGACTGTCAGGAGTCGATAGGAAGAATAGTCGGGAGATTGCTGCCCATATCTTCTACTAACGGGTCAGTTTCTACATGGATAATTCTGAGATTCTGCGACGTAGTTGAGCAGTGGAATGTGTTCATGAGCAAGCTGAAACTAAAAAGTTCTATCGGTGCAATCTGATGTTTTAAGAACATTTCTATTTCAGTGCAATAGCTGCACGTAAATCATTGGAAGCACAAGGCATCGTCAGAATATGCGATCTGGCGTCCAAATCTCGACGTGAAGTTTCACTACTGAACATTAAGAAGCCACGAATCGAAACAGCATTCCGAACACTCTCACAGTTCGCTCGTGACCACTTGAAGTCTGAAACCTCACCGGTAACTGGCCGAGTAGGTTTCCACGACCTTTGAACCTTATTGTGCATACTTGTATTAAGAGTTTGGGTACCTAAAGTCGGGCAGATAAGTCCGCCGTTAGATAAGTTCGCGCGACGTCGCGATCGCCACGCGCGTGAACACTATACGGGACCCTGGAAGTTGATACGATATGTTTTTTTTTCGGAAAAGTTCGCTAGAAACGGCATTTTTAGAAGATGTCACCCTTAGAAAAAAACAGTAAACTTTATTTGATCGGGGAACTGATGAATGACCGACAGAAGTTCGGAACAAACGGCTCAAGAGGAGACTCTCTGCAAAGGAAGTTTACAACACTCGCATCATTTCCTCAATCACCTGTTCTTTCCTGTTCCTTTTTGGGGCCAATTTTTCTAGAATGCCCTTTCCAGATCAACTTTTCTGGAAATAACTACTGATTTCTATCCACAGGCTCCCATTTGTGTTCGCGCGCGCGGCGATCGCGATGTCGCGAGGACTTGTCTACCGGACTATAGGGTAGTTGCTACTTGCGCTTCTGCTTAACAAACTTGATTCAGATAAAGCAACAAGACTTGCTGGTCGAATCCGTAGAAATACTAGAGGAAGTTGTACTAGAATCCCCCGATGAAAACGTTGCAGACGCATCAATTACTGTGGCAATTTCCGAAATCGACGAGGGTGAGTACGGTGCGTAAAGCCATCATACTCGGTGAACTCATAACCTTGATTTTTCAGTTGAATTAGAGGCCGCTGAAAGTGATAAGGTGGATGCAGCCGAATTGGAGGCCGTTAGAAATAATGGGGTGAATTCAGTAGAGTGCTCCCCTAATGCACCGGAGAAGCCAATGGAAAAGGAAGATATTGTCGAAGTGGAAGCTGCTGAAATCGGAAAGGTTGCAGCACCCGTCGCAAGTGAGATGAAACGCTTGCTCGATGCAGGTATGTTTATACTTGTTCACTGTATCAGACATATATAATTTCCTGTGAGAAGTTGTATATGTCCAATACTGTGAGAACTTGTAATTTGTCGGCATAAGGTTGCCTTCATACTTTGCGGTAGCGTCCATCAACGACCATCAGCTTTCGAGCGTCCGTCAGCGCCAGCGACTAGGGAAGTATGGATTTCCAACTGGCGAATGGCGGCGTATACAGCGGCCGGTCAGAGTTCGAAGGGCTAGGGTAGTTTAGTTATATATTGGGTTGGTGCATAAGTTCTTTCCCCCGACTTTTTTGTAAATATCTCAATAGCGAACGGCAGGCTGAAGATTAAGAGGTATTGCACTCTCCATCCCCCTACTCGATCGCCAAACGCTACAGGCAGCTTGTCGGTTCCATCCGTTCCAGGCCGGGGCTGGGACTCGAAGAAGGACCACGAATCAACCACCGGTGACATGGTTTTGCACTGGTAATTGTGCGGCATTATAGCCTGTGCAGGGTGGGCGAGTGATAGCTCGTGTGATGAAGGAGTATCATGTACATGTCACGCACACGTGATGACGAAACCAGACATCATAAAACGAAATGGAAGGATCAAAACAGTGGGGAAAGAAACTTATGCACCAACCTAATATTTAGCGAACGCCGGCGTCCACCAGCGACTAGCAGCGTTATGGGGAAGTGGGAGGGTAGAGCTAGGTTGAGCCTTCTGATTGCGGCATGTACAACCGCACCTTACTACTACACAATGCTGTGACTCCCTTGACGGCTGAGGTGGTCGCTTAATGGTCGCTGATGGATGCTGCCGCAAAGGTTGGACGCATCCTAAGACTTGTTCTGGGAGCTTTTTTGTTCCCACAAGTGTGGAGGTGAGTACTAAATGGTATTTTTTGGTAAGATCGTATGAAAACCGGAAGGGTGGCTGAAGGTTATTACCGAGTAGTCCAGCTTTACCAGCACATTGTACTCTAATCGCGCGAATATTCACGAATGAAACCCACTAGATTTTAGACGGGTCGCAAGAGGATGGTGATGGGTCAGTGGGGTTCTAGCATAGCTCCATAGATTTGACCAGACTGGCTACGCGCACTATTGCGCGAGTTTAATCCTATGGTAGTGGATCAATGGCAGAAGTACTTGTGAGTGACCCCCTAAAACTTCGTGTTTATTCCCTATGCTGTCAAACAACACCGGCCCATTTTCATCATAATTCTCCGTCTTTAATGAAATTGTGCAACGTAGTGGGTCTTAATCAGATCATACTCACCCATTCGTTGGAAATGAACAGCTTTAACGGTTGAAAAAGTGTTCAGCTGGTAACAATATCGAATCACATAGGGTGAAAGTTGTTCTTGAAGCATCCTAAGTGCTTCCGTGAGCAGCTTTCACATATCGGTCTATTGGCGACTCTTATCATTCCTCACTGGCAAACAACTTTAGGCTTTTACTTCTGGGTGGTACTCGAGAGTTTAGCGGTCGGATCAATTCCGATTACATCCTAAGGGATAGGAACATCTAGGCTCACTAAGGTTTGGCCCATTAATTCTTGGGTCACGGTGGTCAAGTTCAGTCGCAGGCCACATAGGTGAGAGATGCAGCTCCCCGTGTTGCTATCCGATCTTGCATTAAATTTTATTACCTGAAGCGGGCCCCTTGGTACTTTTATCGGCTGTGTATCGAGGTCCTGCTAACCCTCACCCAATGAATTCTTTCCTACGGCCTGTCTTATATATTACATCTTAAACAACGTTTCTTAGCCGTCTCTGTGACCGCGTTATGCTGTTCAGTGAAACATCCTTTCTAAGCTCCTTATGGTATCTATGCGCTGTTGAAGTCACTTTTCTGCTACCGCCCGAAAGGGTCACCATCCTGCCCTTCTACTACTTAACTTCTGCTTGGAAACAGACGTTACCACCCGCTGGTGTGACCGTGGCTTATGATGTGTTGTGAGAAGTCTCTTCTAAGGCTCCTTATGGTATCATTATCAGGTGTTTATCACTGTGCACCCACCAATAAGTGTCATGTCACCCTATCTTAAATACTTAGGACCATACGTCTCGTCGTTTGCTGTAGCCCGCGCTAGATGCATTTGGTAGTCCGCTCCTTTCTAAAAACCCCTTGTGATATCATTTCAGCCTTATCAGTTCTCGCTGCCAACCGAACCTACCATTAGCGTTCATAACACCCTCCAGGCCCGACCTCTTACCATCACCCTTATCAGTTGAGTGGCTCCTGGTCGCCCTTTTGAAAGGATAGTTATGGAATGTTGCCGGTCAAACACACATACATGACACACAAAACGATACATTCACAGTGCACACGCAAACACACACCCCAGACAAACTAGGGCGGATCGTGTATATAGATAGGATATTTCAGGTGGCGAGAAACGTACCGTCATGTCGAGGCTGAAATGGATGTGGAAGAATCTTCTGCTGATTTAACAAAGCTCAGACGAGTATCAGCAAAAGCTGCACGCGCTCTTCTCGATCTTGCATCGTGGTGTGATGAAGCTACTTCATAAATGTAGTTCGTTTTTTACTTTGAAGGATTGCTGCTGAGCACGCTCGGCTGGGGGCAGGGCTAGATTGCTGCCAGAGTTATTGGTGAAAGGGCTGAATGGGCGTGGCCAAAGCCCTCTCACAGCCCTTCCACCAATGACGTTAGCAGCAACCGCCCGCCCGTACCCCATGTGCCCTGCCCTCATGATTGTATTCTACCGCACAATCGTCTTTCTCTCAAAGAATTTCATGGTCCGCCAGACAATAGTTTTCCTAATGACATGCGTATAGTGGCCATGACTCTCACTCAGATAAACCGTTGACAGTATACCTGTAGTAGTTTTACATAGGCCGTATCCATTCATGTTTTGGCTAGTCCTGTCATTTTTCAATCGGGTCAGAAATTTGTGGTGATTCAATTGCTCTTTTTGTTGAATTGTCATATCTTAACGCTTGGCTTTTAACCAGTTTTCTTTATCCCTTACAAGGGAGGTCTTTGAGGTCGTGGCGCGTTTTTTAAAAATGGTTTGTTGCTTGTTGTAGGGGTCCATGCAAGGTTTACAAAAATGGGTTTCATTTTTGCTATGCGTTTCTGGGGAGGTCAAAAACTGAGTGAAAACAATTTGACGAGAAATCGCGATTTTAACCGTGTTAATGGGCTCTGTTGTAGCTGTAACTTTGACAGTGCATAATTCATGAGGTGTCCCTTCACTATGTATTGAAAAGATAGCAAAGTAAAGCCAATAAGAAAGTGGACGGAGGGGAGTAATACCGAAGTTACTTGAACGATTCTCGCAACCGCTGTTTCGCGGTCGGCGGATGGCGGAGTGGATAGTGCGGTGGGCTCTCGCGAAGAAGGTTCTTGGATCGGATCCCCTTGGCGACTAACTCTTTGCATTTTTCGGATACTTTATACGTTTTTCGGTTTTGGATTTACGACACCCATTTTTGACCACGGCGCAGCCTAGCGCCGACTTGCTGCAAGAGCATTCTTCCACTGAATTGTTGCCAACCCGCACGCAGGGGCTGTTAAGCGCTCATCTCGAGGAGAAAATTTTTGCTGAAAGTCTGTATATAGAGGTTATTAATGGCCCTGATGACGATTCTGACCTTTAAAATTGGCGTCTAGGTCATTTGGCGCCAACATGGCTCTGAACACCCCCCTCACGCCAGCTGCGGGTTGGGATGCTGCGAGAATCTCTTGAGAACTAAACATACGCTGCCTCACTATGTGCCAAATAAAGTAACTTTTTTTACCTTGAATTGTATTGTTTTCGATGCAGTGTCGACGAAGGTCTCATCTGCTATGCATACTTAACATTATGAATAGAAAAAGCCTCGGAAAAATGGTTCAAAATCGCTTCTCCCCAGCAAACTTTGCACTCAGTTTTTGACCTACCCAGAAACGCATAGCAAAAATGAAACCCATTTTTGTGATCCTTATTCGGACCTCTACAACATGCAACAAATCATTTCCGAAAAGCGCGCCACGACCTGAAAGACCTCCCTTGTGAGACCTGATCGGTTTTCTGATTTTCATTATCTTCCGTGAATATCATATATTTCACAAGGTGTTGTTAGTTATCTGTATTATTGTTCAAGCTGGAATATAGGGATTGTCAATTTACCATGTATTACATTTTCACACAGCTGTACATTTGCCAAATGAATAATTTCATAGTGTAGTCTTTTGCAGTTGAAAAATGACGTCATAGATATCAGCTTACCAAACGACAAATGTCATTTTCATTAGCTAAGTTGTGAGCTATGAAACTTGACCGAAGAAAGGTTTAACTCAGAAGACCTAAGCTTCGGCGCTCTTCGGTTAAAACATTACGGTAAATCGTACCGGGGTTCGAATCCCAGAGTAATATGTCGCTCGCACAGTGGCTTCACACTCCGGCTAGTACGTTTGGTTGCGGATAAAATCGCAGTAAGATGAAGCAAACTGCTGTTCTCTTGAGAGGTGATTAGATTTCGCGGTCCGCGATTTTCCCGTCCTATGCGATCGTCAACCTCTGAAGAGTTTCGTTCAGACATTTATGGATGTATTCTATTGCAGAGTTTCGTGGCAAATCGACCGTGAAGTCTGTTGTTCACAGGATGAAGCTCTTCCTATACTGAAATTTTCCCGTGCATCTGATAGGCACTGACAATATCCACTAGGTGACTACTCTGACTTTCTTTTATGTCCACATCTCATTGCCCGTCATGGCGCACCTTGGAAAGTCGTGCAAGTCTCCCGAAAGGTGAGGTGTCAATCCGATCTCGCGCAAGTGTATTTGTCACGCGCAGCGACGAATGAGAAATGCCTTATACTTAAGTTACTCTTCGTATCTCTTTATTATCTGTTCAGTCAACTCATCGACTAACTTACTGGCATTTTAACGACCTGTAAGCGGTCAAACAATGTTTTGAAACTCCCTCGAAACAAGTAGTTGAAAGGCTCCATAGCACACCTCATGTGAAGCTGCGAAATTGGCATTTTTTAGACAGATGTCACTTAGAAAAAACACAGTAAACTTTATTTGGATCGGGGAACTGTTATGGATGACGACAGAAGTTCGGAACAAAACGAGAAGGAAGGCTCTCTGCAGAAAGAGAAGGTTACAACCTCGCATCAGTTTCCTCATCACCTAGTCTTTCCTGTTTTCTTTTTGGTGGCCCAAATTTTCTAGAAATGGCCCTTTCCAGATTCAACTTTTCTTCGAAATAGACTACTGATTTCTACCCACAGGCTCCGCATGTAGTGTTCGCGCGCGTTTCGCACGCTGTCGCGAGACTTGATCTTACAGGATATCGGTAATTGCAGTTACTTGCGGTTCTGCTTAAAAACTTGATTTCAGATAGAGACAACAAGCATTGGCTGGTCGAATCCGTAGAAATACTAGGGAAGTTGTACTAGAATCCCCCGATGAAAACGTGGCAGACGCATCAATTACTGTGGCAATTTCCGAAATCGACGAGGGTGAGTACGGCACGTAAAGCCATCATACTCGGTGAACTCATCAACCTTGATTTTTCAGCTTGAATTAGAGGCCGTGAAAGCGCATAAGGCTGGCATGCAGTCGAATCCTGGAAGCCAGTTAGAAATAATGGGAGAGAGTTCAGTAGAGTGCCCTCTGAAATGCACACGAAGAAGCCAGTGGGAAAAGGAAGATATTGTCGAAGTGGAAGCTGCTGAAATCGGAAAGGTTGCAGCACCCGTCGCAAGTGAGATGAAACGCTTGCTCGATGCAGGTATGTTTATACTTATTCACTGTATCAGACATATATAATTTCCTGTGAGAAGTTGTATATGTCCTATACTGTGGAGAACTTGTAATTTGTCGGCATAAGGTTGCCTTCATACTTTGCGGTAGCGTCCATCAACGACCATCAGCTTTCGAGCGTCCGTCAGCGCCAGCGACTAGGGAAGTATGGATTTCTAACTAGCTAATGGCAGCGTCTAGCAGCGTCTCACAGACCGTCAAGCGTCCGAGGGGCTAAGGTTAGTTTAGATATTATTATTTGGGTTGTCGTGCATAAGCTCTTTCCCCGACTTTGTAAATATCTCAATAGCGAACCAGCCTGAAGATTAGAGGTATCCACCATCACCATCCACTACTCGACGCCAACGCTCAGGCAGCTTGTCGGTTCCATCGTTCCAGAAGGACGGGGGCTGGGACCCGAAGAAGGCCACAATGCCGCACAATCACCACTGTGACATGGTTTTGCACTGGTAATTGTGCGGCATTATAGCCTGTGCAGGGTGGGCGAGTGATAGCTAGTGTGATGAAGGAGTATCATGTACAGTCACGCCCACGTGATGACGAAATACCAACATCCATGCAAACGAAATATGGAAGGATCAAAACAGTGGGGAAAAAACTTATGCACCAACCTAATATTTAGCGAACGCCGGCGTCCACCAGCGACTAGCAGCGTTATGGGGAAGTGGGAGGGTAGAGCTAGGTTGAGCCTTCTGATTGCGGCATGTACAACCGCACCTTACTACTACACAATACTTTACCCTGCGTCGGCTGGTACGCTAATGGTCGCTGATGGATGCGGCCGGAAAGGTTGGCACGCATCGCTTAGACCTGGTTCTGGGAGCTTTTTTTTGTTCCACTTAACTGTGGAGGCGGGCGTACTAAGATGGTATTTTTTGTAAGTCGGTATGAAAGCTCACAAGGAAGGGTGGCTGAAGGTTATTACCGAGTAGTCCCAGCTTTACCAGCCACATTGTCTCTAATTCGACGCGAATATTCACGATGAAACACCCACTGGATTTTGGAGCGGATCGCAAAGGATGGTGATGGGCAATGGGGGTCTACCATAGCTCCATAATTATAGTATTTTAGTGCGAGAAACGTACCGTCATGTCGAGGCTGAAATGGATGTGGAAGAATCTTCTGCTGATTTAACAAAGCTCAGACGAGTATCAGCAAAAGCTGCACGCGCTCTTCTCGATCTTGCATCGTGGTGTGATGAAGCTACTTCATAAATGTAGTTCGTTTTTACTTTGAAGATGCTTGACACGTCGGCTGGGGGCGGGCGATTGCTGCCAGCGTTATTGGTGAAAGGGCTGAATGGGCGTGGCCAAAGCCCTCTCACAGCCCTTCCACCAATGACGTTAGCAGCAACCGCCCGCCCCGACCCATTGTGCCCGCTGCCCTCATGATGTATTCTTACGGCACAATCGTCTTTCTCACAGAATTCGCATGGTCCGCCAGACATATTTTTCCTAATGGCATTCGTATAGTACACCATGATTTATAGATAAACCGTTGACAGTATTACCTGTAGGTAGTTTTATACCGTATCATTCAATGTTTTGGCTATCCTGTCATTTCAATCGGCAGAAATTTGTGGGTAATTCAATTGCCTTTTCGTTGAGTTGTCATACTTACGCTTGGCTTTAACCAGTTTTCTTGTTATCACTGAGACCTGATCAGTTTTCTGATTGTCGTTATCTTCCGTGAATATCATATATTTCACAAGGTGTTGTTAGTTATCTGTATTATTGTTCAAGCTGGAATATAGGGATTGTCAATTTACCATGTATTACATTTTCACACAGCTGTACATTTGCCAAATGAATAATTTCATAGTGTAGTCTTTTGCAGTTGAAAAATGACGTCATAGATATCAGCTTACCAAAGACATGTCTTTTCATAGCTAAATCTCGAGCTATGACTTGACGAAGAAAAGGTTTACTCAGAAGACCTAGCTCGGCGCTCTTGGTTTACATGGACGGGAACCGTACCGGGATTCGACCCCCGAATTGCGCGTGGTAATGTGCCGCTCGCCAGTACTCCACGCCGGCTAGTACGTTAGTTGCGGATAAAATCGCAGTAGGACAAGAACTGCTGTTCTCTTGAGAGGTCATTAGATTTCGCGGTCCGCGATTTTCCCCTCCTATGCGATCGTCAACCTCTGAAGAGTTTCTGTTCAGACATGGATGTATTCTATTGCAGAGTTTCGTGGCAAATCGACCATGAAGTCTGTTGTTCACAGGATGAGGCTCTTCCTATGCTGGACTTTTCCGTGCATCTATAGGCACTGACAATATCCACTAGGTGACTACTCTGACTTTCTTTTATGTCCCACTCATTGCCCGTCATGGCGCACCTTGGAAGTCGCGCAAGTCTCCCGAAAGGTGAGGTCGTCATCATCTCGCAACTGTATTTTCACCGCAGCGACGATAAAAATGCCTTATAAAGTTACTCTGATCCTTTATTATCGTTTTAGTACCAACTAAGGGACTTAACTTACTGGTATTATAGCGTGGTAAGGGTAACAAAAGTTTTGAAATGGGCCTCGAAACAAGAATTCGAAAGGACCATGACACCGTCCTTTGTGTGAAGGCGATTGAGCTGATAAATACTTCATAGATCAACCATCCATATAAAAAGACTTTGGAATCACTCTCATGATCTCGCGAGCGGCGAAAACCCAATGTAGCTGGATGACCTCGAGGATTTGCTCAGTCTCGACTTACATTTTAGATATAGTTATCATACAGAAGAATGGACTTGTAGTCCACGCACTTTTCATTGTTCCCATGCTCTCTCTCTCGCCTTCCCATTAGGGCAAGGGAACAAAGGAATCTCATGGTACCTTGAAGGGACGGATGAACTTTTAGATGGCAGACATTTTCCTACTGTAAATAGACTGATTCATGTGCTAGACTTCATCTGACGTAAATGTTTGAGAAATTTTGTGCACTCATTGAATCGATTTTTGATGATGTGTTAGCGATACGTTAGCATTTAGGCGGAGATGATTGGTGGCATAGGTCCACATGCCGAGCTCGCGGTATGTGGACCTATGCCACCAAACCATCTCCGCCTGAATGTCAAGCAGTCGCACATCCCTCAAGGGCCGGCAAATCGTCACCAGAGTTCTCTAAAAGGACAAAAACACCGACTTGTACATTGGATAGCCCCCGCGTGCTATGGTGAGGGCCACTTACCACAAGCTACCCCGATTACGAGTGGATGTATTAGGTCATCCCATTCAAATGTGACCTTATCCATATGAGGAGAATAGAAACACAGGTATTATGAAAGTAATATTTTGGCTTTGAGTTAAGTAGATCCCTCCTTCACCAATGACCCGCTCCCAGGCCCCGAAAGCGTTTGGACCTCTGGTACCTTCGGTTTTTCAACAAGTGCGAGTAAATTGCTGTTGATGCCAATTTCGGCGAATGACAAAACATTGTAGCGTTTGCCGTCGGAGAGTACCCTCGACTGACCAGAACAGTTGGAATCGCAACGGCTTTATGTTGGGCGAATGGGGCGATTGAACCCAGGTCTCAGTATTGTTTGTGTCCCAGCACTGCCCTACAATACAGTTAGGGGTCTGGCACTATGACGAGCAACGGTGGCCTTCTTGTAGTTGTGTGGTATCATCCATTTGTCGATCTGATTGCCGAGGAGCAGG